AAATATTCTGTCGTCTATTTTGCTGTCAATCAATACTGCTGACAGTGTCTTTATCAGTATATTTGCTTAACATTTTAAAGTTGATGACAACAACATTACCATAGCAAACTGTGAGATATGTAAACTTGGGATCTCAAGAGGTGGAAAGAAAAAGGCAACATTTAACACAACAAACCTGATACAGTTTTAAGAGGAGAGAAAAATGCCCCTTGATTGTGAGATGGGTCGCAGGACATCACAGCCAAGATAGCACAAATGATCGCAATGAGTGCTATTTGTTTTTATATTAGACTTTATATATATATATATATATATATACATTTGCACTACAAGTCCAAAAGTATATATATATATATATATATATATATATATATATATACTGTGTATATATATATATATATATATATATATATTTGCACAAGTCCAAAAGTGAAGAATTTATGTTTATTACCTGATTGTTCAAGCTACCTCAAGAAGTGCTCTGTTTGTTACTGTCAGGGTGTGGTGCTGGTAGAGGAACCAGAGGACTCCAGGGTAGCAATAAAGATTACTTTTAATATAAAAGACAGGCAGGAAGACAGGAACAACACAGGCTAACATTAGACAACGACCGACAAAGACTGAATGGAACAGAGGGAACTAAATACATGGAAGAATCAAACATAATGAGGTGGAAAACAGGTGAAACAGATGAAACAAGACGCTGAACGGGAGGCTGATGAGGGAGTGAGTTCAGGTGTGCAGACGAGAGGATCATGGGAAGTGTAGTGAAGGAGACGCAGACAGAATGGTGCAGACGAGACTGTGACATTAACAGAGTTAAATTATTTATTATTATTTTTTATTATTTCTCTCCCGTGATTCCGTAGTCCTAACATGGCCGTAGGTTATATGGAACCGTGGGTGCTGAACGAAAATTGCCTTCACATACGAACTCCACGATCTTTCTCCACTGTTTCTTGTCCTGAGCCGCGTTCTTGTTGGCATAATCGGGTGAAATACCGTACGCTGCTAAATCCATCTCCTTGTTTGGTCCATGTCTTTTTCGGTGCATTTCTTAAAAATTTCTCAGATTGGTTAGTTTGGCCCGGTGTGTTGTGATTGGCTAAACTGTCGCTTACGTTGTCCGGAAGGTTTAACGCCCATTACCTTTACAGGCGAAATGTGCATGTCATGAGCTGAATTCAGGAAAATTCAAAAATTCAGGTCCATAATGTTTGTACGCGTTTGTCGTAGACACAAAATAGGGTAACACTTTATTTGAAGGGGTGTGCATAATGCTTAAACATGACATAACACCTGTCATGAACATGAAGGAGTCTTTATGAATGTTTATGACTGTTGTCATTAAGTGTCATTCGGTAAATTATGACACTTTTAATAGAACGTTGACATTGTTAATGTCAAGTTGTCATAACAAAGACATTTTAAACAAAGACAAAAAAGTCTTTGTCATGACAACTTGACATTAACCAAGACAAAAATGTCTTGATTATGACAACTTGACATTAACAAAGACAGAAATGTCTTTGTTATGACAACTTGACATTAATCAAGAAATCATAACTAGTCCAATGTGTTCCACTTTACTTGAGGTAAAGGGAAATATTAATGACACTGTTGTTAAAGCATTTGACAGTGTAATGACCCTTAATGACATCTTTATAACTAGTACAATGTGTTCCACTTTATTTGAGGACAAGTAAAATATTCATGTCATAGTTATAATGGTGTCATTACAACCAAAGTTAAAACCAACCATAACAGATGATAGGGTAATGCAATGTTAACACATTACAGGTTAACAGGTTATGATTTCTTGGTTATGTCAAGTTGTCATAACAAAGACATTTTTGTCTTTGTTAATGTCAAGTTGTCATAACAAAAACATTTTAAACAATGTCAACTTTGCATTTAAAGTGTCATAATTTACCAAATGACACTAAATGACAACAGTCATAAACATTCATAAAGACTCCTTCATGTTCATGACAGGTGTTATGTCATGTTTATGGCAGTGTCATGTCAGTCTTATGCACACCCCTTCAAATAAAGTGTTACCCAAAATAGCATAGGCTAACTAGTAGTGCCTATAAAGCCAGCGCTGGCATTTGAAAAAAAAAAATAAAACACAAGGCTACGTCTGGAATTATACATGCAAATACATTTAAAATAATGAAGTCTTAGCCTACTTACAGGTTGTGGCCCAACAACTGCTGCCTCTGGTTTTAAAGTCGGAACTGCTTCATGTTTTAGTAACAGTTTCTTGTTGAATCCGGTGTTGAACTCGTGGAGATTCTGGAAGCTGTCTTCCGTAAAATGCGCAGCACAGAGAGCTAGATTACGATCGCCATGTTCAGGAACATTATCAAACATAAATTGTATCCATTGTTGAGGAAGTATTGCGTCCATTGGAAGCCCGAACACAGAAGACCTGACAGCTGCGTGAACAACACACTCAACGAGTCGACTGCCTGAGAAATATGCACATGCCATTTTCTGCATATTCTGAGGGAGGTGTTGATGCAAATGTGTGGGTTAGTGACGTACCATAACCCAGCTGTAGTCCCAATCGAGTCTTTTTTTTAGGCAATATACTTCCTGATTTTTAAAAGACGATATCTCTGCTTACACTGAACTTTCAGCGCTGCAACTTTGCAGATACTTTTCATGCACCAACAGCAAAATTACACACTATTTAAAATAAAAAAAGGGAAATCCCAGTCAAGTGGAACTCCTCCTTGAACTTGAACATGATTGGTAGACCCCTCATAGTAGGCGTATGATCTTTGGAGGGTACCCTTCCACTCGTAGTGTGTTCCATAAGGCTGGGCGGTGCACGTTGTCGAATGCTGCAGAGAAATCAATGAAAACCATCACTGTTCTTTTGCCACATCGCATCCTTTCTTCGAGGAGTTGGCGAAGGGAGAAGATCTGATCGCAACAGCTGCGATCAGACCGGAATCCCGCTTGTTCTTCTCTAGCCGCTTCCTCACGGCGTTTAAACATCCTACGGTAAATGATCTTCATGAATACCTTGCCAATGATCGACAGGAGACTAATGCCACGATAGTTTTTACACTCAGACTTGTCCCCTTTCTTGGAAATCTGGATGATGGTCACCCGTTTCCAGGCAGTAGGAATAACTTCAGTCCTCCATATCTGTCCTAGCAACATATGTAGGCGGCCTTCCAGAACTTCTCCTCCATGCTGCAAGGCCTCTGCCACTACGCCATCAACTCCAGGAGCCTTGTTGTTCTTTAATGATTTAATGGCAACTCATAGTTCAGGTAAAGAAGGTTCCAAGTCATCCACATACAGTGGTGTGAATAAGTGTTGGAACCCATGCTAAAGTTGCCTAAAAAGAGGAATAAAAAAATCATCTTTTGGATATTGATCTTAATGCCTTAATTAGAAAAATGAGGAAAACTCCAACCTTTAAGGACACCAATTTTTTTTGTGAATGAATAATGTATCATAAATAAATAAATGTTTTTCCTTAAAATACAGGGTGCATAAGTCAGGGCACCCCTATGTTAAAATCCCATAGAGTCAGGCAGATTGTTATTTTTAAAAGCCAGTTATTTCATGGATCCAGGATAATATGCATCCTGATAAAGTTCCCTTGGCTTTTGGAATTAAAATATCCCCAAATTATCACACACCTTCCACTACACCTAGAGATTGGCATGGGGTACTTTCCATAAGATCATCTTTCAATGCAAATCAAACCAGCTATCAGGCTAACTGAAGTAAAACCATGCCAATCTCTAGGTGTGGTGGAACACAACATTTTTCACATTCCCAGAACCAACACTGAATATTTAGAGAACATTCTTATAACAAAATTCTGTTAGCTGGGAAGGTCCAGAACTATCTGTTTTATAACTAAGTTTTGACATATACGAAGGCTTTTCACACTTGAAATGGTTAACCCTCTGTCATTGTAAACGTTCACACTGATCATACTTTACCCAGGGTTAGCAATTAATCCTGGGTATTTATGAACTGATGTTTCATGCTGTATGTTCCTAAACCCTGGGTTAACATACTTATTTGCATATTTGCTGTGTTATTGTCATTGATTGGACGAATGCTACGTGTTTACATCAACACTTTTGCATTGCGCGTCCTCATATTATATATTGCCACATGCTATCAAGATTTTTTTATATGGACTTTTTGGACTGTAAAGTTAAGGATGAATAGGTCACTTCTTTACCCCAATTGGTGAGTTTTATTTTTTTGCCATTTGAAATCTTTCCCATCAAACGTAGAAACAACTGTTTATACAATTTCTGTGACTGTCCAAAGCATGTGAACACGAGGCACTTGATTGGTTGTCCATTGCTAAGCATCTAGCCGTAACATTCTAACACTTTATTGTTTCACTCTTTGCAAGTTTGGCACTGCAAAGCAGGGTGAACAGCACAAAATGACTCTAACCCTTGTCCGGACCAGAGTGTCATTACTCCATGTAAGAAGTGGTGCTAATTCCACTTCTAACTTACAAATGTGAAATGCTTTTTTTCCCCAGGGCTAAAAGCAGGGTTTAGAACCTCTATAATCAGAGGTGAATTGCAGCATTGGAACAATGTGTACTGTGAAAATTGGAATACAAATAAAATTGAAAAATACATTGCAGAGATCCGGGCTGATTCAAGGTCCCTTCCTGATTCTGTTCCCTTCTCTTCCATCTTTGTGTCGCAGTACTATCAATAAATAAGGCAAAAAGTACAACAAAACTAAAAAAATAATTTCAAATGATACTATTCAGAAAATAAGACTTTTTTTCACTAATGGATTGTATAAACAAAGAAATAAAACATTATACATTATAATGTTAATGAAATATGAAGTCATATCTATTTTAATTGGTGAATCTTGCTTCCAAAAGAGCAGAATGTCATTCAGCATGATCTATTATGTTGAAGTTGGTTAACCAAGGAAGTAGTGAGATCTGGTGGTAACCTTTTAATTAGAGTCCTCTCTTTTTTTAGATTAACAGACTGTAATCTCAGTGATCAGCACTGTGAAGTTGTGGCTTTAGTTCTACAATCATCAAACTCTCTGAGAGAACTGGACCTGAGTAACAATGACCTGCAGGATTCAGGAGTGAAGCTGCTCTCTACTGGATTAAAGAGTCCAAACTGTCAACTCAACAAATTGAGGTATTTAAGGGTCTTTACATATTCTGTTCTATTATTTTATGCAATCGACTTAAAAGGATAATTCACCCAAAAATTGAGTCATTATTTACCAGTCCTGTTAATGCCCTTCTTTTTTGGACTATAGAAGGAATTTGTTTTTAAAAAATTCCTGCTCACACCCATTCACAAAATGGAAGTGAATGGCAACCAGCATCAAACTAAAAAAAGAGGCAAAAGTATCACGAATGGTCTCATGCGACACGTGCCATATGTTCCAAGTGTTCCAAAATGTAGTTTTTTACCTAACAAAAGTGTGACTGCACTCATGAGACTCGATTAGTGCTGCCGTTTATTCCGACTCGCCAAAAACAGCAGACAAGTGAGAAAGCAAGAGATATGTATATATATATATATATATATATATATATATATATATATATATATAGTATATATATATATAAAACTTAATTGGGGTTGGAACGACGGTGATTGTTTCTTCTATCTATTTGCTGCACGTTGAAGCTGGACGTGTGTTTGGTTCACTGCTCCGTCTTCACTGCTTGGTCTTGCTCCGTAGGAGCCATTCATTAATGGCCAGTACCTCAGAGATTTCCTTTGACCAGGTAAATAAAGTTGGTTAAAAAAATCCCAGGACACATTGTAAAGGAGTAATGCCAGTGGAGGGTTTCTGAAGGGAATTTTGTGCATATTCAGCCCAGCTTAAGAAGCTTCTCCAGTCCGACTGATTCTGCTGTCAGTACATTCTAAGAAACCTTGTGAGGTCTGGGTTTTGGCTTTCACTTTGACCATTCAATTGTGAGTGATATCCTGAAGTGAGGCTTATATTTAAATTGAATTGGTGGAAGGCCTTCCAGACCCGAGATGTGAACTGGTAACCCCAGTCTGAGACAATATCGTCTCGGTTACGGATGTAACCCTCGTTCCCTGAGTAGGGAACGGAGACGTTACGTCGGAATGACGGAGAATTGGGGTTTCACATAGAAAGCCAATCCACTTCGAGTATTTAAAAACGAGCCAATGGCATGAAAATGCCTTGGGTCTGCGGAATTTGCATAGCGTATCTCCGCCCCACCTCATGGGTATAAAAGGAGGAAGCGGATGCAACTGCAGTATGTCTTCGCTGAGGAGCCGAGACTGAACTCAGGCGTCTACCCAGCGGTACAGCGGAAGTGGCAGGGAGACGTAACGTCTCCGTTCCCTACTCAGGGAACGAGGGTTACATCGGTAACCGAGACGTTCCCTTTCGTAGTCACTCCGAGTTACATCGGAATGACGGAGAATGGGGGTCCGTGCCATCACACCACCTTCACAGCTGTCTTCCAGTGCCCTGCGAAAGTCTGGACTCCTAACAACTTAGCTTATGAACCAGGAGTCCTACTTTAACACAGGAGTACCAAGGTACACAGGGGAGCATATCCCGGGAGGAATATGCCGCAGTACGCCTACCATAGGGAGGACTTAAGAATACACATATGGCCCAAGGGATCTTCATATGGGGGAACACTGGAGTCACCAACCTAAGGGTGGCTAGAAGCTTAACTCCAGGAATGGCAGATGGCTTGCCAAGGGAAGACACATGCTCAGAGAGGCTTACAGTGGAGAATACACATGTGACCGGGGGAACTGTACACATGGAGGCACCTAGCCGGCGTCCAGAGCAATGCACCGGCGCCGGCATCAGAAGTGCTGGAGGACTCAGAGCTTCAACGGAAGACTCAACTGAGGAATATCGCACTTATCCAGTCCGAGGAGTGGAATGGCGAGCAAGCAAAGACACCTGAGCGGGTCCAGTACTGGCGGAAGCGAGTACACGAGAGGGCACAGGCTCCACTCGAAGATTATAGAATCTCGCAAATGTGTTCACCCCTAGCCTGCAGCTCCGCATATGTCTGTTAGTGAGGTGCCATGCGCTAAAGCCCAAGAGGAAGCCACACTCCGAGTGGAGTGGGCCGTCACACCAAGGGGGCACGGTCGACCTTGCTGCTGGTAAGCCAAAGCAATGGTGTCCACTATCCAGTGAGACAGCCGCTGCTTTGAGAGAGCCCTTCCCTTCTGGCTCCCCCCATAACAGACAAAGAGCTGGTCTGAGGTCCTGAAACATGGCGTTCTGTCGATGTAGGCATGGAGCGCACGTACCAAACAGAGCAGTGCCAAGGCTGGGTCTGCCTCCTCTAGGGGCAGCGCTTGCAGGTTCACCACCTGGTCCCGGAAGGGAGTGGTAGGAACCTTGGGCACATATCCAGGCCGGGGTCTCAAAATCACGTGAGAGTAGGCCGGCCCGAATTCCAGGCACGCTTCGTCAACGGAGAATGCGTGCAGGTCCCCTACCCTCTTGATAGAGGCCAATGCAACCAGGAGTGCTGTCTTCATGGACAGAAACTTAATCTCTACCGATTGCAAAGGCTCAAAGGGAGCCTCTGCAGAGCACTTAAAACTACTGAGAGGTCCCAAGAGGGCAGGAGGGGAGGAATCCTCCTCGCCCCCTTTAGGAACTTGATGACCAGGTCGTGCTTCCCCAAAGACTTACCTTCAACTGCTTCATGAGACACGGAAAAGGCCGCGGCGTAAACTTTTAGGGTGGAGGACGACCGCCTACACTCCAGCCCTTCCTGCAGGAAGGAAAGCACGACACTGATCGGGCATCTCCAGGGGTCTTCTCCGCAAGAAGAGCACCAGTTGACGAAGAGGTTCCACTTCAACGCATAGAGGTGTTTAGTGGACGACGCTCTAGCGGAAGTGATGGTAGCCACCACCGCAGGTGGCAGAGTACTCAAACCTGCCTCGTCCCGTCCAGGAGCCACACGTGTAGCCTCCAGAGCTCGGGACGAGGGTACCAGAGGGTGCCCCTTCTCTGAGAGAGTAGGTCTTTCCTCAGAGGAATAGGCCAAGGAGGTGCTGTCGCGAGGAGCATCAGTTCGGAGAACCAAGTCTTGGTGGGCCAATGGGCTTTATGCCCAGCTGCGCTACTTCCTGAACTTCAGCCAGCTTCTTGTTTCCTGTCTGCCATTATTGGACAAATTGATTAATTCAGGTGTGCTTGACCTCAGTAGTCATGGCAACAATAATCAGACACACCTGAATTAATCAATTTGGCCAATAATGGCAGACAGGAAACAAGAAGCTGGCTGAAGTTCAGGAAGTAGTGCAGCTGGGCATAAAGCCAATAGGACCTGCTCCTCGTCCTCCTTGATCTTGCACAAAGTCCGTGCAAGAAGGCTCACTGGGGGAAACGCATACTTGCGTGGACCCCGCGGCCAGCTGTACGCCAGGGCGTCTGTGCCGAGCGTGCCCTCGGACAGGGAGTAAAACAGGGCGCAGTGGGATGAGTCCCGGGAGGCGAACAGGTCTATCTGTGCCTCCCTGAACTGGTCCCAAATCAGCTGGACCGACTGGGGATGGAGTCGCCATTCGCCGGAGATTGGACGGATCCGTGACAGCTCGTCGGCTGCCAGGTTCCAGTCTCCTGGAATGTAAACAGCACGAAGGGACCTCAGGTGCTTCTGACTCCATAATAGGAGGTGGCGTGCGAGCTGCGACATCCGACGTGAGCGTAGACCACCCTGGTGGTTGATATACGCTACCATAGCGGTATTGTCCGAACGAACAAGTACGTGTTGACCCCAGAGCAGTGCTCGAAAGCAGGCGTACTGCCAGCAGCTCCAGGCAATTGATGTGCATGAGGCGCTGGGGTCCTGTCCAGGAACCCACGGCTGCATGCCCATTGCACATGGCTCCCCAACCCGTGGTAGAGGCATCTGTGGAGACAACGACATGCCTGGAAACTAGCAAAAGAGGGACCCTG